CTGCTACTTTGCTGAATTGGTCAACTACGTCCAATAGTTTTCTTGCTGAGTCTTTAGGGTTTTCTAAGTATACTATCATGTCATCAGCATAAAGGGATAATTTTACCTCCTCGTTGCCTATTTGGATACCTTTTATTCCCTTCTCTTGTCTTTGGCGTCCCTCTTATACCATGCAGTAAAGGCCTGTTCGTTCCTTGGGACCAGCTTCTTTCTTTCTCTCTCTTGCCCTCAACTCTTTGTTCTATCTATCTATCAACAACAACTAACAACAATTGGCAGAAGCAATTGAACCTTGAAGACATTGCCAGGAGAACCACTTTATTGTATTTGTTTTGTGTTATATTGTCTGAATAATTATAATCTGACATACTTTTTTGGGTTTGGCAAGTGTTAATTGATAATAGAATATACTTCCTAATCACTTGTTGTTGTGAGGTGCAATCAAGTTGAGTACGACTCATAGTGACCCTATGAACAAAAGATCTGAACCTAGTCCTGCCCTCACACTTCCTGACACAGAAGAGCCCATTGCAGCAGTCAGCTTGTCTGTCAGTCCACCTAGTTGAAGGTCTTCCTTTCCTTTGCCAACCCTCCACCCTTCCCAACATCATGTCCCTCTCCAAGAAATAGCACCTCTTAGGAATATGTCTAAAGTATGTGAGGCAAAGCCTCATCTTTCTTGCCTCCAAAGAGCACTCTGGCTGCACCCTTTCCAAGACACATCTATTCGTTTTCTTGGCTGTCCACAGGATGTTCAGTGCTCTTCTTCAACACCACAGTTCATTGGCATCAATTCTTTTTTTCTGTCATCCTTACTCATTGTCCAGGTCTCGGATGCATAGCTAGTAATCAGAAAGACCACGGCCTGAATCAGATGCACCTTAGTCCTCATACTGACATCACTACTCCCTTTCAATAATTTGAAAAGGTCCCTAACTGCAGATTTTCCCATTGCAATGTATCTCCTTATTTCCTGACTGCTTGTACCAAGGGTGTTAATTGTGGATCCAAGCAAGAGGAAGCTGTTGACAGTTTTTAATCTCCTCTCCATCCATCATGACACTGTCTATTGGTCGAGTGGTAAGAATCTTTGTTTTCTTGATATTGAGACTCAATCCATACTGAAGGCTGCATTTCTTGATTTCTACAACAAGTGCTTCAAATCCTCCTCATTTTCAGCAAGTAAGGTTGTGTCATCTGTGTAACGCAGGTTATTGATGAGTTGCCCTCCAATCCTGATGCCACATTCCTCTTCATAGAGTCCAGCTTCTCAGATAATTTGCTCAGCATATAGAGTGAACAGGTATGGAGATAGAATACAACCCTGACACACTCCTTTCCCAATTCCAAACCATCCAGTGTGTCCCTCCTCTGTTCTCACAACAGCCTCCTTGTCCAAGTATAAGTTTCTCATGAGCACAATCAAGTGTTCTGAGGTTCCCATGCTTTTCAGTGTCAGCCACAACTTGTCATGATCCACACAGTCAAATGCCTTTGCATAGTCAACAAAGCACAAATAGACATTCTCCTGATCACTTAGGTCAACTATATTGATTCCAATCAATGTTTTTCTCAGGTTGGCACCAGTTGGTTTTTCCAACTCAGGAAAGTGTTTAATCCTGTCTTGAATGAAGGCCACAAATTATTCTCTGAGAATTTAGCAAGTTCTTGTTCAAGCTGAATTGCTTCTAAGACTAGTTTGCTTGGAGGTTACGGATGCTTTAAAGAGTAACCATTGTTAAGGGAGCTCTGGTGGCT